ACCGAGAAACCCTGTCTCGAAAAACCAAAAAAAAAAAAATAATAATAATAATAATAATAATAATATTTTTTATAAAAAGAAGAAAAAGGTCCTTTGTTGAATTGTTGTCTTGCTGGCTTCTAGCCTAGCTGAGGAAATAGTGAGCTCCAGGTTCATAGAGAGTTGCTGCCGCAAAACAAATGGATAGAAATAATAGAGGACATGTGACGTGCTCTTTGGACCAGCACACACATGCGCGTACGCTCATGCACAAAGACATATATATGAATAAATAAGTAAGTAAATCCTTTTTTAAAGTCCTATGTAATAGCATGAGTGGGCTTTTAAAATTTAATTATCTTTCCTTTTTTTGGGGGGGGGAATTTTGTACACGAATTCTATATTTACATGAGTTCCACCTCTCCCTCTTGTCCCCCAACGCCTCCCACTATGCCCCTTTGGATTCATGGTCTCTTTGTAATTATTGTTGTTACGTGTGTGTGTGTGTGTGTGTGTGTGTGTGTGTGTGTGTGTATCCATTTAGTGTTGTTCATATACACACACACATATACACACATACACTCATGTGTGTGTGTGCACATACATTGTGTGTGTGTTTAGGGCTGACTACTTAGGGTTGGATAACCTCTCTCAAGAGGGCTTGTCTCTAGAGAAAAATGACTCTCAGCAGCTCTTTGATTACCTGTACCTTTTTAATCTATGGGTGAGGCCTTGTGAAATTTTCTCCACCCACATTGGTATTTCAACTGGTATCATTTTGCAGGTCTTTTTTGTTTTTGTTTTTGTTTTTTGAGACAAGGTTTCTCTATGTAACAGCCCTGGCTATCCTGGAACTTACTCTGTAAACCAGGCTAGCCTCGAACTCACAAAGGTCCACTTGCCTCTGCCTCCCAAGTGCTGAGTTTAAAGGCATGTGCCACCACCACCTGGCTGCAGGTCTTTTTTAATGCAACTGTGTTGTTAATATTTCATAGATAAAACTTCTCTATCATGTCTAGAAGATAATATCTTGCAACAGACATCCTGGTCCTCTGAATTACAATTGTTCTGCTCATTTTGCCACAATGTAAAGCCTACAGACCACGACAGTGTTTGGCCTGGCAGGATATCTCCAGAGGTACAATAGTGGCACTAATCTAGGAGGAAACCAACAACTGGATTAAGGGAAAGAATTCCTCCTTGGTAAATAGCCAACTAACTCCCTGTAGTTAGAGCAGTCACAGACCTTAGAGGAGAGCCCACTCCTGCCATTATCCTAATCGGGATAGTTTAACTGTGTTCTCAACACTAATCTTTATATTCTCAGATAAGTGTATCTCTTACCCCTCATCAAAGCAGCTTCTTTGAACAGCAGAAGCAGGCTATTGCAGAAATTCGTAAGTGGTCAGAATTCAGGGGATAAGTGATTGTGGAGTGAGTACCCAGCTCCAGATGGGACATCTGTGACATAGTCCCTACACCTAAGGCTCAAGGGACATCGAAAAATGGACTCTTGAGCAGAGTAGCTTATTCACTGTTACACCTTTGACTTTGTTTGTTGAAACAGAATCTCATTAATAAAGTTGGTCCCAAGCTCCTGGGTATATGTGATCCTCCAGCCTGAGTGTCCCAAGAAATTGAAATGGCAACCTGTGCTTCCATGCCTGACTCTTATTGGTCCGATTTGAAATGATGACTTAGAGCTATCAGTCCTTTAGACTGAAGAACTTACTAGCTGATGGTGGGTACTTATGTAACATTGGGGCCTGTTAGAATAGCCGTGAGGCCCATGAGTGACCTGCAGATTAGAGACTTAAAGTGCAGACCTTTTATGCAAGGACCAGGTGTATTGGGAGACTGTGGCCTCTGAAAGAGGAGCAGATGACTTGCCAGTTCCTGCTCTGTAATGAGCTGATTCTGCTTTGGCTTGGGAGATGAACGTGTGTCCCCACAGTCCAGTCTACCTTTATTTGTTCCCTGTAGGCCGGGGGAAACTACTGCCTGCCCTGTGAGCATACTCTAGTTGTAGCTGTATCTAGTAGCTGTCAGCTGTCACTGCCTGCCTCAGAAGAGCACTCTACATCCTGCTCGCTCCCCTCTGACCTACACTTCTTGTTCTTGCTTGGATTCCATCCTCAGATCCTAGCTGGCCACGCTGCTTTTAGTCTACAGTCAGCATGGACTCTTGTGGACTTGAGAAGAACTCTGTCAATGATTCCTTATTATCATGGTTTTCATATTGCTTGCCATGGGCATAATAAGAATGAGAATTGTCAATTGAACCTTAAAACAGCTCTCTTCCTTGACCTGTTTTCATTGGAATCCAAAGGAGAATTTATTTAAAAGAAAAAACATGGTAATCAGCTGTAGGAGTTCAACATCCTTAGCCATCAGGGAAATGTAAATCAAAACAACTCTGAGATTCCATCTTATACCTGTTAGAATGGCTAAGATCAAAAATCTAATAACATATTTAATAACACTGATAACTAATAATAATATGTTGGAGAGGGTGTGAAGTATGGGGAACACTCCTCCACTGCTGGTGGGAGTACAAACTTGTACAGCCACTTTGGAAATTAATATAATGGTTTCACAGAAAATTGGGAATCACTCTACCTTAAGACCCAGCTAAGCCGGGCGTCGGTGGCGCACGCCTTTAATCCCAGCACTCGGGAGGCAGAGCCAGGCGGATCTCTGTGAGTTCGAGGCCAGCCTGGGCTACCAAGTGAGCTCCAGGAAAGGCGCAAAGCTACACAGAGAAACCCTGTCTCGAAAAACCAAAAAAAAAAAAAAAAAAAAAAAAAGACCCAGCTATACCAGTCTTGGGCCTATACTTAAGGGATGCTCAATCATACCACAAGGACACTTGCTCAACTATGTTCATAGCAGCATTATTTGTCATAGTCAGAAACTGGAAACAACCTAGATGTCCCTCAACCAAAGAATGGATAAAGAAAATGTGGTACATTTACATAATAGAGTATTACTTAGCTGTTAAAAAACATGACATCAGGAAATTTGAAGGCAAATGAATGGAACTAGAAAAAAATCATCCTGTGAGATAACCCAGACCTAGAAAAACAAACATGGTGTGTACTCACTCATAAGTGGGTATTAGCTATAAAGAATAACCATGTTACAATCTACAGCCAGAGAAGATAGGTAACAAGGAGGACCCAAAGAGGGACACATGGATTTCTCTGGAAAGAGGAAATAGAAGAGATCTCCTGGATAAACTAGGCATGGGTGGGGGATGGGAACATAAGGGATTGGGTTGAGGACTGGATAGAGGTGGAGAGTAATGAAAGAGATATCTTGATGGGGGGTGGCATTTTGGGGTAAGGTGTAAGGGAAACTCCTACCAATCTACAAGGATTAGATTGGCTAAGACTTCTAGCAATAGTGGAGAGGGTGCCTGAGCTGGCCTTTTCCTGCCATCAGAGTGATGACTACCTTAATTGTCATCAGAGAGCCTTTGTCCAGTAACTGATGGAAGCTGATGTGGCAGAGATCCACAGCCAAGCACTGGGCCAAGCTTAGGGAATCCCGCTGAAGAGAGGGAAAAGGATGGTACAAGTCAGGGGTGGGGTCAAGGGGGACAAAGGAACCCACAGAAACAACTGACTTAGGCTCATAGGAGCTCACAGACACTGGACCAACAGCCAGGGAGCCTGCATGGGACCAACCTAGGCCCTCTACATATGTGTGACAGTTGTATATCTTGGTCTACCCATGAGACTCATAGCAGTGGGATTGGGACCTGATGCTTTGGTAGTCTTTTGGGAACCTATTCCTCATACTGGGTTGCCTTACCAAGTCTTAATATGAGGGGGGAGCTTGGTCCTACCTCAACTTGATAAGCCATACTTTGCTGACACCCATGGGAGGCCTGCACCTTTCTGAATAGAAACAGAAGAGGAGTGGATTGGGCGGGGGGGGGGGGTGTGGGGGGGGTAGGGGTAGGGAATGAGAGGAGAGGAGGGAGGGGAGACTATGGTGGGGATGTAAAATAAATGAATAAATTGAATAAAAAAAAAAGAAAAATTAAAAAAACGAAAAGAAATGTATAGTTCAAATGTCTCTGACCTGGCAAGTACAGGCCACATGTTTTAGTAGCTGTCCGAGGCCCTCTGTGATTGGCCCTGCCTGCCATTGTAGTTCCTGTTCCCAGTTGGCTCCTGTACCCCAGCCAGAACTTCCTTTTCTGGACAGAGCTGTAGTCTTGGCCTTTTGTTCATAGTTGTTCCCTTCACTGTCGGCGTCCATCAGGAATTTACTCCGATAACACTCCGCCATGATTTTTTTCCCTCAGATGAGGGAGTTCTCTCATGCTTGTAGAATGCTCCTACAGATGTCTGTAAGAGCTCTTTTGCGGATGTCTGTTATAGCTCTATTGATAGTCTTCTCACCATGGACTCCTGAGTTCCTTGAGGACAGAACTATCTTACTCGGTTTACATAGTCAACGCACAGTCCAGGCCAGACAGAGGTTCCAAATGTATTTCACACAAATGAGGTAGATAACAGGGATACTCGCCCACTCAAACCTTATTCCCAAGGTGGTCATTTCTGTTAAATCTAGGTGCCATAAAACTGTAACTGTAAATCAAGAAACCCAGTGGTTTGTGGGAAGAGTGCCCACCATACTTACTTTTATGTTAATCAGATTGCAGCCAAATGCTTACTAAAAATATGTGTAAAACTACCTTCAGGCTGTGTGTGTAAGGTGTGATGATTTGGTCTCACCCTTAAGATAGCTCCTTGGGTAAAAATGTAAATTTTACAAAATCTGAAAAAATCCTAAACAGTCTGGTCTCAACATACTTTACAAGGGTTGTTGAATCTGTAGTGCTTTTGCATTAGTTAACAAATACTCTATACTCAAGGGTCACTTTTACCTAGCTACCTACATTCTTTTGAGAGAATGAGACGGCATATAAACACAATATAATTAAATACAGAGTTTTTTCTTACAGAATGTCTTTGTTCTGTTGAGTGGTTTTCCTTTGTTTGTTTTAGAACTGGAATGACTACAGTCACCAGGCTTTTGTCTGTGACCATCTGTTGGATCTCCTCGAGCTGCTTCTAGACCCAGGACAACTTACTGCATCCTTCCACTCAACCCACACTAGTATGCTCTCTCAAGATGCCATCCTGGCGCTCAGTTTCCTCATCGAAGGCACTGTGAGCAGAACCAGGAAGGTCTATCCCCTTCATGAACTTGCACTGTGGCAGCCGCTGCATGCAGAAAGTGGCTTCTCGAAGATCTCGAAGACGTTCTCTTTGTACAAGCTGGAAGCCTGGTTGAGAGCCTGTTTGACTGAAAATCCATATGGTCCATCTGCTTGCCTCAAGTCTGGAAAGAAATTGGCTTGGGCTCACCAAGGTATTTTTTTCAAATACATTTTACCTAATATTAAATTGACCAACCAAGAACCCACTGTTTTCTGCTGTATTAACGGTCAGATGTCTGCTAGCCTGGTGCAGTGGCACACACCTGTAATCGAGCATTCGGAAGACGGGGCAGAAGAATCACAAGTACAAGGCTAAATTGGGCTACATGGTGAACCCTGTCTCTGCACTGCATGCATGTGGTACACAGCACACATGCAGGCAAAACACCCACACACATAAGATAAACATAAAGGGAAAAAACAATTAAGTAAGTAAATAAGAAATACCCCATATAAAAGAGGACCCACTGTAAGAATGATAAGCGGCGCTGGTTACCGCAAAAGGTCAGGACAAACCCCAGTGTCAGTATCAGAGCTTTATTAGGAGGAAGAGGGGTAGGGTGGGGGGACGAGAGAACCAGGCCTGGGGAAGGAGAACGTGCAGAGAGAGAGAGAAAGATGGTGGGGGGAAAAGAGAACAGAACAGAGAGAGGAGGTGGGGGTCTGAGTCACGGCTCTTTAAGGTGCAGGTGGGCTTACAGAGCTACGCCACACATGTGCAGATTACATGACCACACCGTGCACGTAATCACCAGCGTACACTGATGACGTAAGACGCAAGACCCCTTGTCAAGCTCCTGAACTGGCATGTGCGATCATGCGGCTGGAACACGGCAGAATCCCCACACCCACCTTGTGTGTGTGATTTGCACCGTGGAGCAGGACCCTCAGTGTTGACTGGGGTTTGTCAGGATTCACATGACTGTAATCCGTCCTCCCTGGAATCTCCTTCCCCCTTGCAGCCAGGTGCTTATTTGCTTGAGACTTTTTTATTTCCTACTTAGCAGCAGAATTTGGCCAGCCAGTAGACATTGCCTCAGAGTTGGCATAGAGATGAGGGGCTTTTAGCTGCATAGACACAGGCAAGGAATATGTTTCTAAAGTAGAAATCGTATGAGCAGTAGTGAGAGTCCCGTGTTTGCTGTGTCAGTGTCTATCCCTGGCTCTCCATTGTGCCTAACAGATAGGTTCTAGTGTTGTGGACTCTTGAGAAGAACCAGGAAGACATGTCTGCAGATACCTGTGCTGCTAAGTCAGGTGCCAGGCCAAGTTGTTGAGAAAAAACAATAGAGTAAGCTATGTTTCCACACTCTCAGAATTTCAAAGATAGGCACACAAATGGCTTCCTTATAGATGTTTAAAATATATTAGCCAGGCATGATGGCACTTGCCTTTAATGCCAGCACTCAGGAGGCAGAGGCAGGCGGATCTCTGTGAGTTCGAGGCCAGCAAAGACTATATTAAAATGCTAACAGAGGTAGCAGGATAACACAATTGTTTAAACACTTTTTTACTGCTCTTTTTCTACATAACCATGTCCCATGTATATGGTATATGTGCAATTAAAAACTAAGTCTTTTAAAAGAAGAATTTCAGCATATTTGTATATCATTTCCACATTGGCCCAGTATGGGTTGATTTCATAAAATGTTGGAGGTACAGGCAGAGAAGCAAGTCTCAAACTATGTGTCAGAAGGGACCCTGTGAGGGAAGATGTGCTCTCAAGTAGTAGTGATCTTGGGGTGAAGGCGTGAACTCAAGTAGAATTTGTGGAATGATGCTGTTGGTAAGTTCAGAGGGCTGCGGACTTGATAGTAGGACATTCTGAGAAGTCCATTAGGATCGGGAGGACACAGTGAGGCCTCCTGGAGGGAAAGCTGTGTGGATCTGTCGCTAGTTTAGGACCTTGGGCACATTACTTAACTTAAAAGGTAGCCAAGAAAACGCATCTTAGCTTTATTAGAAATCTTGAATGTGTTATAGGTTTTGTTGCTGGAGAGCTTCTCTCCAGGTTCCACCAAGCCCCACAGTCCCACAATCCACGTATAAAATAATCACAGCAGGGCTCTGAGCTATGGTGGAGCAGTGAGAGCGTGTGCTTGTTATGGCAACAACATGTCTCCACCTCTCTCAGGAGCGTTGGCTCCTTCAGGAGCCGAACCTGGGAGCCTCCATCAGACTTGTGTTCTCTGCACATGTCTGTGCATACGCCTGTGCATGTTCTGTGCATACGCCTGCGTGGTCACTAGCCGCTTGGCTGTGTGTCTTCACACAGGCCCATGAGCCACCAAAATATAGAAACACAGTGTTCCATGGGACACAGCTGAGAGAGCAGGTAAAATGGCTGAAGAAGCTTCCAAAAACTCTAGAGATTAAGCGGCCCTTTAATCCAGGCAGGCGGGTACTGGTTTGCTGTGGGAAGAAAGTCATTAAAAGGCATTTCGAATACTCAGTAAAGAAAGGCCTGACCTGGGAGTCCACTAACTGGTGTTTAGGGGGAACAATTGTGTGCCTGGCATTATGCTAGGGCGGGGAGTAACAGAAGGTGAATTTGACTGGAACATGTAGCTAGAGTTTTCCTGCCTTGCCCACAGTTAGGACAAATCTCTGTCACCCGCCAGTCCCACAGCTGCTCAGACCCAACCAAGTAAACACAGAGACTTATATTGCTCACAAACTGTATGGCCGTGGCAGGCTTCTTGCTAACTGTTCTTTTATCTTAAATTAATCCATTTCTATAAATCTATACCTTGCCATGTGGCTGGTGGCTTACCGGCGTCTTTACATGCTGCTTGTCTTGGCGGTGGCTGCAGTGTCTCTCCCTCCTTCTTCCTGTTTCCCCAATTCTCCTCTCTCCTTGTCCCGCCTATACTTCCTGTCTGGTCACTGGCCATCAGTGTTTTATTTATATAGAGTGATATCCACAGCACTTCCCCTTTTCTTTTTTTTTTTAAAAAAGGAAAGTTACATTTTTAATAAGAATTTTGAAAGATTGCAGATATATAGAAAAGAACAGTAAACACCACTTTGCCATTAACTCTTAAGTCTAATATATTTTTCTTTGCATGTATTTTGAGTTTAGCATGGATACATGTAAACATGTGTAATGTCATGGTCACATGTTTTTGGTGTTTTTTTTTTTTTTGATTTGCAGACATCTTATTATTTGTGTGTTTCCTTAAATAGTTGAAGGTGCGACCAGAAGAGCGAAGATTGCTTGCAATGTTCACGTGGCCCCTCGAATGCACCGCATTGTGGTGATGAGCCAGGTATACAGGCAAACACTGGCCAGGAGCTCAGACACCCTAGTAGGAGCACATGTCAGAGTTCATCGCTGCAATGAGTCTTTCATATATTTGCTCTCCCCCTTGCGGTAAGCATTTTCATATTTTCTTTGGACAGGGTTCATTTTTTTAAAAAAATTTATTTTATTTATTATACAGTGTTCTGTCTGCATGTTTGCCTGCAGGCCAGAAGAGGGCACCAGATCTCATTACAGATGGTTGTGAGCCACCATGTGGTTGCTGGGAATTGAACTCAGGATCTCTGAAAGAGCAGTCAGTGCTCTTAACCTCTGAGTCATCTCTCCAGCCCCGGGATTATTCTTTTTTTTTTTTTTAAGTCAGAATTTTACTCTAGGTAATTCATTCAGTAGAATTTAATTCCTTTAACATTTTTCAGATCTGTGACAATTGAAAAATGCAGGAATAGTACCTTTGTGCTGGGTCCTGTGGAGACGGCTCTTCACCTGCATGACTGTGAGAATCTAAATGTCATTGCTGTCTGCCACCGGCTGTCTATCTCCTTTACAACTGGCTGCACCTTCCACATAATGACACCGTCACGTCCACTCATTCTCTCTGGGAACCAGAGAGTAACTCTGGCCCCGTTCCATACCCATTACCCAATGCTGGAGGACCATATGGCCAGGACCGGCCTTGCTACGGTCCCCAACTACTGGGATGACCCGATTGTTGTGTGCAGAGAAAGCAGTGACGCAGCAGTCTTCCGGCTCCTGCCACCTTGCGAGTTCTACGTGTTTGTTACTCCCTTTGAGATGGAAGGGGACACGGTGGAGATCCCCGGGGGTCTCCCCTCGGAGTACCAGAAAGCGCTGGCTCAGAGAGAACAGAAGATTCAGATCTGGCAGAAAACTGTGAAGGAGGCTCGTCTGACAAAGTGAGTGTTTTCTCGTGTCAGTGTCTGCTGTGGGTGTGAAACTGGATGGGACTTTATAGTCTCCAGCCAGCCACACTAATTAAACGACACCGGCATGTTTTCTCAGGACTTGAATCCCAGGTTAGCATTTTATGCGCTGTGTTACTGGGCGGGTTGATATTCTAGCCTAGTGATTTTATCTGTAAGACAGTTGGGATGGGTAGAGCCAGAGCAACAGAGCATCAGCAGCCACCCGTCCAGGAGAGCAGGGGTCATTTTTATGGTCTCACCACATTTGCTTCCCTTTGGACTTCAGTGGGACTGTGGAGTGTCTGGTTCTTGCTTTGGGCTGTAGTCATTCCCGGGGGCCCTGTCTGCCTTGGTGTCCTGTGGGATTGTGTCCCGCAGAAACAACACAGCACAGCCAGGCTGATGGGTGAGCTGTCCCTGGCCGTGGTCTACTCTTGTCTTCTTACCCACACCAGGCTGTCACGTGAGGCCTTTATTGTTTCCGTTTCTTCTGTCTGGTAGTCGGTCCACATCCTTTTGCTTCTTCCATCATTTCATGTCGACGTCTTACTGGACAGACATCTTCTGTCCACCCTCCGTCTACAGCAGCCCTCCGGGTAATGCCACACTGTCACCTGATGCCCACTGTGCTCCAACAAGCAGTCCTTAGAAGTACTTGACTGCATGCTGTGTGTTTATCTTGCCTCTTTCCTGTATTCCCTATGAGGGTATACAGTTGACAGGGACGTATACACAGATCACAGCTGCCAGCCTGGACAGGGCCAGTCTCTTTTCTTTATGATCTATTCCCATCAGTCAGAACACTGCCTCATGCATTTTGTCCTCAGTAGGAATCTGCCAGCGAACAGACCTGTAGACACTCTCTCCCTGTGCTCTAACTGTCTAGACTGTCTAGAAATAGTCGTTCAGTTGTGTTGAGATCTTCGGTAATCACGGGAGTAAATCTGTTGGGGTTGTCTTCTTAAATGCTTTCGTTCTCAATCACAATTCAGGGAGCAGAGGAAGCAGTTCCAGGCCTTTGTGGAGAACAAGTTCTACGAATGGTTGGTTAAGACAGGACATCGGCACCAGCTGGACAGCCTCATTCCACACACAGCGGCCTCCAAACAAGAGCCCAGATAGGACCCCACACGGGACTGCTGGTAGGCACTTAGAACTCAGAGCACTTAAGGAGCTCTTGGGAAATCTTCCACGGCATACAAAGCAGAAAAGCAAGGACTTTGGAGCATGTTCTCCTTGCCAGTGTTCTCTTCTACCCCACCCGCCTGTAGACACATACTCACGTTTTATTTGATGAGAAAACTAAACTATTCAAGTGGTGCCTAGAGAAATTTGGGCAAATATAACAACCGAGTTTTATCTTTTTTTTTACAGTTTCTGTAGCACCAAAATATTATTTTCCCATTAATAGCATTAGGTTTTTGTTTTGCCTTTTGTTTTTAATATTTATTTTATTTTATTTGTAAGTATGGGTATGTGTGTATGTCTGTGTGGGGGTGGGTGAAGGTGCCCAGAGAAGGTCAAAGGTGTTGGATCCCGTGGAGCCACAGTCTCAGGTGATTGTGGGCTGACTGACGCTGGTTTTGGGAGTTGAACTCAGGTCCTCTGGGAAGGCAGTGTATGCCCTTAATTGCTAAGATGTCACTCCAAGCCCAGGCGTTAAGTTCTGTTTCTCCTCACTACTTTGTGTTTTCCCATCCCCCCAAACTATTTCATAAAACTGGTCTTTAATAATCACACATAGAGCATTATCAATAGGTTAGTTAGAATTAATCCAAATAAATATTTTATTACTGAACACTAGAAGAAGGTCATGAATTAAATATGTAGATGAGACTATAGATAGGAATACATTTATTGAGAATTACTTAATTTAAATTCTGTTTTTCCAGCATTTTTTAGACTTTTTAAAAACTTTTTATTTTTCCTCCATACATTATGCACCTTGGTCGCATTCATTTCCCTGTCCCTTTATATCTGCTCTCTGCCCTTGCACCCCCCACCACAATAAAATAAGAAAAAAAAAAAAGGAAAAATTTCATCATGGAAGCAGTAGTGTGACACAGTGAGTCACGCAGTAAACTTTTATCTGTACATCTTTATTGCAAGTGTTCATTGCAAAGAGTCATTGGTCTGGTTCCAGGCCTCTGGTTTCTGCTACACTATCCGTGCTGGGCCCTCCAGAGTTTGATCTCCAGAACCCATGTAAAGATGAAAGGAGAAAAGTGACTCCACAAAGGTGGCCTCTGTCCTCCCCAGGCACACTGTGGCCTGGATGTGTGTGCACACAAACCCACATCATGAACCCTTGCGTCATAATTAATAAGGATTCATTATTCCTCCCTTCCTGTGGGTCTGTGGGCAGTTAATAGAGGGTGTCACTTTCTTCAGTGATCTAGCCGCTGATAAGCTGCATCTGGACCAGTTAATAGCCTTCTGTGCTCCAGAACAAGGCCTCCCCTGCATAGTGCAGTAACTGGAAAATAAGGGGAGGAAACAGAGTGTTGGCTGCTGATTTAAATAATCATTCCCATTAGAAATCCAGCCAGAACAGTGAGATTTTTATTTACACACTTAAAGAAATAAAGAATTTCTCAAAGAGTATAAAAATATAAACAACATTTGTCTTTCAGAGATGAAGCTAGGGATCCAAGATAGGAGAAAGCTTATTTTTAGAGAGATATAATTCACATAACATGAGATTCACCTGTTTGTTTAGGGCCTTATTTTCTTTTTCTTTTTTTCTCTTCTTTTGGAGGTACTGAGGGTGGAAGCCAGGGCCTCACACATGCTATATAATCATTCTACCACTGAGTTGTATCTACAGCTCTCTTTGTACTTGTTTGTGAGACCAGATCTTGCTAAATTGCTTAGATTTTGGCCTTGAACAAAGCAGACCTTGAGTTTGCAATTCTCTTGCCTTACTTTCCCAAATTGCTGGAATTGTAGGTGTGTACCATCTAGCCTGGCAACTCACCTTTCTAAGGTGAAGAATTCATTGCATTTTACTAAGTTCGCAAATTTATGCAACAGCCACCTTTTAAAAAACAGAACGTTTCATAGTGCCTAGTTAGAATGCCCTCTCCCCATTAGTGGTCATTTGCTATGCCGTTAACTCCTCAGCTTCTCTTACCTCCAGGCCCCAGCAAACAAGCATTTGCCTTGTTTATTCTGGACAGTCTTATAAATGGAAGCAGTCAGCTTGTCAAGATTCATCCCTGCTGTATCAAGAGTGTTCCTTCTTACAGTAGGGTAGCAGTCCATCGAGAGGACTTGAAGATTCTTTCCACTTGGCAGCTGCTTCAAATCACACTGCTTCATGTTTACAGCGTGTGCTTCCGTCTCATGCATTTATACCCAGGAGTGGGCTGCACCACATGTGCTCACCTATTTAGGGGATTGCAGGTTTCCAAACAAAGCTGCAAACAAAATGATTCCCTTCCCAAAGTGTGTCTTCCTTTCTTTTGTTTTGTTCAGGACACAGAGTCTTTCTACGTAGTCAGGCTGGCTTTGAACTTCTAGCAGTCCCCCTGCCTTGGCATCCCGAGTGCTGGGATTGTGGGTATGGTGCTAGTCTTTTTAAGAAGCATGACTTTGGGCTGAAGAGACGGCTCAGTGGTTTAGAGCACTTGCTGCTCTTTTAGAGGACCTGGGTTCAATCCCCAGTACTTACAGGGAAATTCTTAACTGTCTGTAATAACAGTTCCAAAGGATCTGATGCCCTCTTCTGCCCTCCAAGGGCACTGTGGGCATGTGGGTGCATACACACACATGCAGGCAAAATATCCAGGCACATAAATAAAAATAAATCTCAAAAAAAAAAAAAAAAAAAAAAAAAAACAGCAGCAGCAGCAGCCGCCCATGCCTTTAATCCCAGCATTCAGGAGGCAGAAGCAGGTGTATCTCTGTGAGTTTAAGGCCAGTCTGGTCTACAAAGTGAGTTCCAGGACAGCCAGGGCTGTTATACAGAGAAACTCTGTCTCAAAAAACCAAAAAAAAGAAAGAGAGAGAGAGAGAGAGAGAGAGAGAGAGAGAGAGAGAGAAAAGAAAAAAGAAAGAATTTCACAATATGTAGTTAATAAATGCTGGGTTGAGACTGTACCAAGAAACAGGAACTGGAAGGCATAGGGATTGGCACTCCTGTTAGTCTCCAGGCGGAATTTATGTCAGGCATAGGGATTGGTGTTCCTGTTTACCGCCTGTCTACCAATTTTGGGTTCGTAATATTTTCTTTCTGTTATAAAGTAACTAACACCATAGAGGAATACAAAGCTAATTTTCTCATGATAAATTGTCATGCTCTTCCTAATTTATATGAGTTTGTAAATGAAAGTAGTTTTCATATTTGCATGGACTGTGAAAATTGATTTATATACATTACATTCTCTTTGCTCACCTGCAGGGCTCTGGAAACATGAGGAAGGATGGAGACTGGTGCCCACTGAAGACTGTTGGAAAGACACCCTTGCTGCCCGAGAGACCTCAGGCTTTCCCTCCAGTTCACTCCTTTGTTGGTTCCTGTCTATACTCTCTTGGGTTGAATTTGAGTTTCTGACTTACCTGTTGAAAATGGAACACTGGGCAAGGCAGATGGATGTATGCATTAGTGTCTAAGTGACCGGGTGAAGGTTCACAAACTGACTTCATATTTTAATGTGTATGATGGAAGGGTTTTGTCCTAGCTGAAAAAGTTAGCCAGGTGTGGTGGCACATGCCTGATTCCAGGGCTCAGGAGGCAGAGTCAGGTAGAGCTCTGTGAGTTCCAGGCTAGCCTAGTCTACATGGTGAGGACCCAGTATCTCAAAAAACAAAACAAAACAAAACAAAACAAAAAGTTGTGTGGTTCTTTGTAACTATTTAAAAGGAAATTGCTACTCCTTTTTTAAAAAGAGTGACAGTATGGTCAGTTGGTATATAAGTACAGCAGAGATAGTTTTATAAAATGGTATTTTAGGCCTTAAAGTATAAAACACATGAAATTGTGTAAAATTTTTTATTTTTATTTTCTGCTTCAAATTTCAATAAACAAATTCTAAAAAGTAATTTTCCCCTTTTGTTAAGAAGATAAGTTTTACATTTAATTTTAATAAAAGGTTTTGTTTTTCCTCTGTTACTGTACCAGAGTTGGGTTTACATGTGGCTAGGAAGCCCTGTTCTTCCAGACAAGTGAGTGACATGATTCTAATCACTAACCCGAGTTACTTACTGAATAGTTACCATCACGGAGAGCCACTCTTAGAGTTCTCAGATAAAATTAGCCCTCTTCATACTTGTTAAGTCCTTGAAGCCTTGATAGTTCTTACTCTAACATGAAATTCGGGTAAGCACGGGATGACGGAATGAAGAGGCATTGGCGTGACACTAACAGACCCCGTGGGTTGATCTGACTCTTTGACAGCCGAAAGTTAAGACGCAAATACATTCCGTGGTGTGTTGTTTGCTTCTCGGTGATCTGCATATCAAGGCATATCTGCCACATCTTTAGAGATTTATTTTTATTATGATGAATGTGTGTATGTCTGTCTCTGGGTATGCATGTGTGAGTGCAGGTACCGGAGGAGACCAGATGAGTCAGTTTCCCAGAGCTGCACCTGTGAGGCTGCTGGGAACTGAAGTCCAGGCTTCTGCAAAAGCAGCAAATGCCTCTCCAGCCCCCAAATTTCCCTTTTCAGTTGAATGCTGTTGTGGGGATCCCATTTATAAAGGTATTTGTTGGACATGGTAGAAAGGTGAAATTGGACTTTGAGGAAGACTGTGCTCTGCTGGAAAAATTAAAGGGAGAAGGATTGGCTTATTGTTTCTCTGAGTTTGTAGAAAGTATTAACCCCATTCCTAACATTAGAGACAGATTCCAGGGTCAAGGGCAGAGTGAGCATTTAGCTTGGAAAATTCTGCAGTCTCAAGGCAGCTTTCTCTCCCTGTGTACTCACTCCTCTTGTGAGTAACAGCACTTTTTAATTTGTGTCTGGGAAAAAATTCAAACCCGAATGACATTTGCAAGAATAGGTGAGCTGACCTGTGGCAAGCCTGTAATTCCTGAATTGGGAAACAGGATTGCCAAAGCCCTTGAAGCCAGCCTCAACTACCCAGCGAATTCCAGGCCAGCCAGAGATACATAACATAGTAAGGCTCTGAAAACAACAACAAAAAACGAAAGGTCACTGAACACCTAGATACTCTCTGACTAGAGTACCCAGATGTTAACATTTTGTCACATTGACTCATCTCTTCTGTCATTAATTTTAAAGCTGGTAAGTAGATTGCAGACATCATTCTACTCCAAACACATTAGCATACATTTACCAAAATCAAAGACATATTCCTACCTACTTAAAGGGCAGAATAAAATTCAAGAGCCAAACATATATAACATATAGTTATATCTCTAATATATAGCCAATATTAAAAGCTTTTAGATTGCCAATTTTTTTTCTTTTTGAGCTGAGGACCGAACCCAGGGCTTTGCGTTTGCTAGGCAAGCGCTCTACCACTGAGCTAAATCCCCAACCCCGCCAATTTTTTTTTGTAATGACTCCCAACACCCCAAAGACAAGAGCATTCATGACTTTTAGGTACACGTTTCTTTGCCCTTGAAAACTCACCTTTGCCCTGAAGTAGAGGGTGGTCTTTGGATTCTTCTGTGTGTTCTCTGTTGAAGAACAAAAAGACATTAGGAATGTCCAATAGGTCATTGGATAAAACAAACTGCACAGAAAAAAAAACTTGTTTTGAAGTTTTAAAACTTTGGCTGGGTTTTGGTGCCTTGATTCAGCAAAGTCAACAATGCAGCAGGGCTGTGTGAGCATTAGATGGGCAATAAAGCCTTCCTTTATTTCATAATCCCAATTGTTTATCTAGCAAACACCGATAGACTGTAAACGACTGACTCAAATTTTGGATTCAGTTCTCACTACTAAGCAAATTGATTTGAAACCAGCCTGGTATAAATGTCCCTGTGCCTGTAGCCCCGGAAGCTGCTCTGGATTTCTTTCAGTTGTGCGGAATCAACCTCTGCACTTAGAATGTCTCAAACAGGAGCCAAGGTAAGTAAAGGCCATGCAGACGTCTCCCTCCCCTGCTTTTCTTCTAAAGATAGGTTGAAAGAGGAATACAGAACGGCTCCTGCTTTGTTGCCTGGAGGGGGATAACCTAGTGCTTGAAGGACAGGGATGGGCAGGGGATGGAGGAGGGCTTGTTTTCTAGTCTAACAGCATCGTCTAACACAACACTGAAGATTTACATTTAGTGATGGTGCTGTGCTAAGTACTATATGGGTAAGCAATACCAAAACCATCATGATGGCTGGCTCCCAGCAACATGGATGATTTCAATCTCATAGGGATAGGACATGATGAAGACTGTAATAGAAAACTTAAGTAGTCAACATTCCGTTGTGTGTAATTTAGCCTCAGTCCTTATTGTTCCAGAAGGCCAGTGGCCAGGCCAGGCCAGTGAACTCAGTCAGACAGTACTTCTTCATTCAAGCAGTTGTTGGTTCCAGAGAGGGTCCTCACCAACCTTTGACTCGACTGCTTGTCTGGAAGTGAATGCTCAGGCAAGGCTTGGGGAAGGAAGGGATTCTCTGGTTAGTTAGCTTTTGTAGCCCTCAGCGAGGCTAAAGGGTGGAGTCAGTGTGTGGTTCCTGATCCCTCCCTCCTCTGACTCTTGGTTTGAAAACTTTCAGACTTACTAATCTTGAAAGAATAAGAAAGATGTGCAGCAAATTCTTGCCTTTCACCGATATTCTCCAATTGTTAACGTTTGGTTATATTTGCTCTCTTTATTATGCCATTGAAGAGTATCTAACTGTATTGCACTGTTGATTGGGGTATTTAGATATATATCTCCTAAAAAACAAAAACAAAAAAATTTTACCGTGAATAAACATACCTCCAAAATTCATCCTAAATCTAACACCCAACATTCAGACCATGCAGTTGACTGCAGACATGATAGAGCATGTTAATGTCATGTGATACATTAGTTATTTGATTATTTTTCTTTGCTTACATTCTCTC